TGATTCCAGTCTGACCTTTCCACCATAACTCTGGTGCCTCTGACATCTCTTCCCCAGAATTCCACTATCCTTGGGGAACCTCGGCAGTCTCCAGCCTGGCTTTGATGCCTGAGGGCACCAAGCCCCGAATCACCCAAACTTGCAGCCTGCCCCACCTCCACAATTCTCACTGCTTGGCTATTTGGAGTTGGGGTTGCTGCCTCTTGCAGTCCAGAGGATCCTCAATGGTCCCCACATGCTTGATCATTCTGTCCTCACTACACCTCTGAGGGTCATTATTACCATCCGCATTTCACACGCGAGGACACTGAGGTCAAGGAAGAGACGGGGTGAGCACCCATAAGTAATCAAGTAGGGATCGGGGTTTCAGTCTTCTGGTACCAAACTCAGTTTTATATCCCCGGAACCTATTCACAAACACGGTCTCCCTGGAGAATGCTGATGGGACTTTCTGTGGGGATATTAGACCCTTTGATTAACCACCACATCAAGGGGAAGAAGAAGGCACCAGACTCAGGTCTCCTGCAGTGCTGACAACAAGACTTTAGCTACTGTCTTTTTATGGCCCAGCCTGTGCAGTAAGCACTTTCTATACATTGCAGTGTTCACTGGCTCCCAGCTGGCTGGTGAGATGGGCTCTATTCATCCCTAGAAGGTAAAAGAACAGAGGCTTGGGTGATGTGACTCACTCAAGGTCACACAATTAGTAAGGGATAGAGCTGGGGTGCCTGGGTAGCTCAGTCAGTTAGGCGTCTGCCTTCGGCTTGGGTCATGATCTGGGATCCTGGGTTTGAGCCCCGTGTTGGGCTCCCTGCTCAGCAAGGAGCTGCTTCTCCCTCTCCCTCTGCCACTCCACCTGCTTGTGCTCTGTCAAATAAAAAAAAAAAAATCTTAAAAAATTAATAAATTTTAAAAATTTTAGAGCTAGGCTGCAAATGCAGGCCTGCTTGATTCCTATTACTCAAGTTCTTCTGCCTCCTTACAAATCACTGTCACTTCCTGGCAAGATTCCAAGTGTGGCCATTTGAACCGCCATTCTATATTATTATTCCCATTACACACAAAGAAACAGGTCAGGGTGATTAGGCCCAAGGCTGCTCTGCTCAGAGTGGAAAAGTCAGGATTGTAAGCCACGTCTGCCATCTGCATCCCAAACAGCACACCAGCAGCCCCATCATGCTACATCGCACCTCAAAAGATCGTGTCCACAGTCCTTGGTGGTCAGGTCCTCCCAGGAGAGCTGAGCTTATCCACACCCCGCACCAGACTGACTCCTCTGTTATGTCTCATCAGCATGTCACCATCAAGAAAACGAGCTGTTGGGGTCTCTCAGGGTACAGAGCAGTGCCAGCCCCCCACACCCAAGTCCATTTGATGGTTTCACCAGGGCGAGGGAGTCCAGGTTTGTTGGATGCTCCTGAGACTGGCCACCCAGAGCCCCAGCACACCCATTCTCCGGCACACTTACCCAGGCTGCCTTAGGAGCACACACCCCTCTTTACTGAGCAGGAGCTCCTGGGCCCAGAGTCCAGGGTACGAGCAGGGTCCCTTCCTATGTTTCTGGTTTCAGGATAGCCAGGGATCCCTACACTGGCGTCCACAGCAGCACCTCCTGGCCTTCCTCTGCCACCCCTTTCATGCTTCCCACCCAATACTTCCCTACCCTTTCAACAGGACACCCCAAACCCAGCCAGCTGAGAACTGGGCTCTCCTCCCTGACGTCCCCATCAGGGGAAAACAGCAGTTAGTACCACAGCTCTGGCCGCTAATCCATCCTCTACTCAGCTGAAGTCCTCCCTCTGCCAGGAGGCACTCTGTCACCACTCCCTCCCCTGTCCAAACTCTGTCCTCTGGACATGGTCTCTGGTGTCCACCCTACTTGCTTGGCACCTACGACCACCCCATGACATTGCTGGTCATGATTTTTGTTTTTTTAAGATTTATTTTAGAGAAAGGGAGAGAGAGTGAGCGGATGGGGAAGGGGCAGAGGGGGAGGGAGAGGGACACATGGACCCCAGCTGTGTGTGGAGCCCTATGAGGGGCTTGTTCTCACGACCCTGAGATCATGACCTGCACCAAAACCAAGAGTCAGATGCTCAATCGGCTGAGCCACACAGGTGCCCTCTTGTCATTATTAAAATGACTTTTCATGGTAAGAGGGCACAGAACTAGGATTGAGCTATATTTTTCCTCCTTAAGTGAGTATCTCAGGCCTTCGACATCTTTAATTAAGTGCTGTTCCCCCAAATGGGTGACCTCCGAAGACTTATCCCAACGTGTTTTCTCATTGAAGGAAGTGGCCACGACTTCTATTCTGGAATTCTGCTCTTCTTGACTGGAAGAGACTGGACTGTGGTAAGAAAGGCTGCCCTCTGCCAAAGGAGTAAAGCAGGGGGAAGGAAAAAAAAGTTTATTGAAAGAAGCTCTCGTGGACGATGAATTTACCCCATGCCTATAGCACCAAGAAGTTGGATGATATTCAGGAGAGTTCAGGGTTTTATCTGATATTCACGCCGACCTGGGGAGGTCTGGGGGGAAGGGGTGATTCTTCTTCCCTCCTACAGGGGTCCAACTCCCTGACCCCTCGCCTCTGCCCCTGCACATGCCCTGGGCACGAGACACTCTTAGCAGAGCGTGTCTGCTGAGAGGGGCCAGGAGGGGAGTAGGGCCAGAGGGTGGCCCACAGTCCCAGGGGGAAGGAGCGGGGAGCCCGACGCCCTGGCCGCCAGCGGGGGGAGCAGGGGGCGGCCCGGCCTCCTGGCTGCACAGGGCACACACGAGTTACTGCCCACCAGCGATCGGCTCCACGAGGAGGCTTCTCGGGCCTCTGAGTCGCAGCACTTCCGCCAGGAGCTGTGTGCAAGAAGGGGATGGGGTGTAGGCCCTCCTGGCACCTCCCTCCTCCCCCTCCTCCGGCCTCAGCAGCTCAAGGCTGGTCAGAGCTCAGGAACTGCCCCTCACCTGGCTTCTGTCATCCTGCGGCCACCACCTCACTCTCCCAGAAGGCCCCTCCTGGTTAGCCCACTGTGACAACCACTCTAGACTCTTGCCCCTGACCCTGAACACATCTGCAGGTCACTGTCCTCCGGTTGTTCTGTGTGACTTCCTGTCTTTCCAGTTAGGCAGGCATAACCACCAACCACATCTGGGAGGCATTTAGAGCAGTGGTCTCAACCTTGTTAGTACTGGAGACTGTCTTGGAAAATTCGAACAAATATCCTGAGACCCGGGCTGCGCCCCAGATTAAGTGACTCCACGGCTCTGGGGGCAAGGCCCCGAACCTGGACTTTGTAAACTCTCCAGGAGGCAGTCGCAGCCGAGAACCACTGCTCCAGGCCTCCGACGTGTTTGTAGAGCCCCTGCGTCTGCTGTGGGAAGCGCCGCGGGACAGGTGTTACCCCCATTCTAAGAGAAAGCAGAGGCACCAGGAGGGGCCTGCCACGGGGTTGCCACCTGCACCCTGGATTCCGGGCTCTCACCACTGCCCTGTGCCTCCTTCCTGCCAGCTGCAGAGACAGGGTCTGCTTCCCACCCACGCTTGCCCTGGAACAGCGCTTGCCCTGGAACAACTACGAGGATGCCGGGCCCATGCTGGGCTCTGGTGGCCTGGTCCTAAAGGACCAGGGGCACCGGGTGGCCGTCTCAGCTGCTAGGCCCAGTCAAGGCCACATCAACTCTCCAGGAGGTGCCGATGAGCCCCCACTAGTGGAATCTCTAAGTCGGGGGTCAGCCTCCAAGATCACAGTCCCCCCCCTTCCTGGGTACTTTGCGTTTGTCAGGTTTTTTGTTAACCTCTAGTGTAGCTAGAGTGGCCAACCATCCTGATTCACTCTGGCCTGGGGAGGTTGCCAGGAGTTAGGACTTTGAGCTTTAAAACCAGGATGAATCAGTCCCCCTACTGGTCTCTCCCCTAACAGCCCCTGATGCATTCTCACTATTGAAGTCCCACACCTCTTCCCCTTTTGCTTCAACCACACACCACACCTGGCTAGCAGCATGTGAATCTTTTGGTTTCCTCCCGGCCTGGCCACAAAAACTTTGCTGAACCACTGTACCCATTGCTCAGAAATGTGTTACCTGCATGGGCTGGGGTCATCAAGTGCCTCCTGCAGGCCAGTGAACCCCAAGAGCTACTGAACACTTACTATGCACAGAGGGTGCACAAAAGTCCCTGTAGTGAAGACACACCCGAATCTCCACTGTTCCCCAGATGTGCAGTGCTACGGGTCTGTCGGGGATCGAGAGCAAGGCTTCTTGGAGAGGACCTGGGATTGTGGGAGTGTAGTGGCACACCCTGAAGGAAATATCTTGTGAAAAAGGTGCAGATGTGCAAGAGTACAGGAGGTTCCAAGAAGACCAAGCAGTCCAGGGAGGACAAAGAACTGGGGAGAGCTAACAGGTGCACCAGGGTGGCAGGAGTCACTGGCCCGTCACCCTGAGGTGCTTCACTCAGCAGACACAGAGGTAGCAGTCTATGAGGGGGATCCACTGGCCAGGAAGGGTGTGGCCCCTTCCCTAACCTGATGGGAGAACCCAGCTTCCACCCTCCCGAAGCCCACCCCAAGTGGTCAGGGCAGTGGCTCCCTGGTGTGGCCACAGGGCAGTTTGTGGGGGACAGCCTCACCTTGTGTCGAATGCTCTAGGGCTAGAGCAGTCTTTCTCACCCTTGTCTACATGTTACAATTGCTTGGACAACCTGTAAAACTTCTCATGCCCAGGATACATGCCAGGCCAATTAATCAGACTAGATCAGGTTAAGACCCACACATGGGTATTTTTAAAAGCTCCAGGAAGAATGCACATGTACAGCCAAGGTGGAGAACCCTGTGCTAGAATGATGTAGGGAAGAGGCGGGGAGGGCATGCTCACAGAGGGGTTCCTTTGGCAGGGAACTTAGCAACTGAACCAGAGGGGCCCAGGACCTCCCAGATTCCCTTACCCCATCCCACCTCCCTCTTCTCCCATGTGTCACAAGAAATGAAAGGACATACAACGGGGAGTAAGAATGAACACACACTTTTGAGAAACATTTTCCATTCTTGTAGGAAACAGGTCTGTGTGCTGAAGGAAACACCAAGTGGAAAGGGAATCTGAAAATCAGAACTAACAGGTTTCAGGTCATTTTTGGCCACATCCCGAAAGCCCCACAGAACAGCCCAGAGCTGCCACTCAGCAGGGAATTTTGTATCTAAAAGGAACCAACCCAAGTGGACACCCGTTTCTTCCTCTTCCAAATACACCAGGCCTCAGGCCCAGACTCAGCACCCGGCAGACCAGCCACAGGTAGGGTTATGTCGCTCCCTAGTGGCGATGCCTGAGTACAGCTCCATTCTCTATTTCCAGAAGCTTCCCCTGACAAATCTCCTCTCCCACTTTGAAGTAGGAAAATACTTCAAGATGGAGAACCTGCCATGTGAAGCACAAATGCCTTATAGCCTGTACTCAACCCTGGCATTCTGCCTATAGTTCCTGCCCCCCATCCTGGGTGTGGGAGGCCTCTCAATGCCATGGTTGGGAGCTTGGGCTATGAGGCCAGATGTGCGGCCTAGAGAAAGTCACTACATCTCAGCCACCTGCACAATGGAGATAACACAGGACCTGATTCAGAGTGTTTGTAGAGAGCAGAGGGACGGCCCTGGAGAATAAGCACACCTGACTTTCAGTAAGGGCCACAGACAAACCAGCAGTATTAAGGGTCTGGGTTTGATGAAAGACATCCCCAACCCCACTGAGACAACAACAGATAATGCTTCTCTCTGCTTTGGATGCTGGGGCTCAAAACCAAACCCAGAATAGTTCTAGAAGGGCTTCACAACTTGCACTTGCATTACTTTTCCTTAGCAATGACACTAGTCTTATTTGTTCTTGGTCCTCATTTCTTCCTGTTGTACTGTTAGTACCTGTAAGTCTCCTCAAATCTTTCCTGGAATAAGATAGGATATAAACAAGTGAGATTTTATTTTGGACATTGATAAAAGTTTTGCTCTTTTTACACAGATCCCTACCGAATTCAGCATTTACTTTAAAATGGTATCATCTTTAAGACCAAAGCCTTCTGTCTAAAAAGACAGTGGTTCCAAAATACACACATCAGAATTACCATAGACTTTAAAAAATATTCTAATTTGGAAGGTTTGGGATAGACCCCAGGAATCTACAATTTTAAAAAAGTTTCCCAGCTGCTTCTAAGGTAGCCAGCCTAACCCTGGCCATGGAGCTGTGTGTGAGAATCTCAGGCTTGAAACTTTAAAAAAGAGTAGTGACAAAATATAATTTTCTAAATAAAATTTAAACCTCAACTTTAACTGATGTTTCAAAAACAAGGGGTATAAATCCAAATCTGCAAATCAGACCCATCTAAATTCATTAAGGGCAAAAGATTTTGGGAAAACCCCAGCAGTGAGGCCTCCTATGAAATCAAGATGCTCCTACTTACTTTTGGGTCCTTGAGTTTGGTTTTTCTTAAGGTAGTTGCACCTGGAGCAAACTCCCCTGGAATGAAGCTATTTCCCGGTTCCTTCACAACCCATCTGTTTTCAACAGGCACACTCAAATCTTGTATGAAGTCGCAGATGCTGCCAACAGACCTGCCTGTTTTAAGATTTCACCCCAGCTCCACTAGAGGGTGCTCCTTCCCTGGCCTGGAACCCTTCCCTACACCGGGGGTGAGGGTGGGGGGGTGTTGGTGGTTGATGGAAACAGGTGGGGGGTGTTGGTGGTTGATGGAAAACAGTAGCACCCAGATAGGCCAAGGTGTGTTTCACACAGGACACTGAAAGTCAACTTGTGCCTTCCCCGTCTCTCTGGGCCTCCAGACACCCTGTGGCTGCCATTCCCTAGCTCCAGGCGGCAAAGACCCACAAACTGCCTCTATGATTTTTATTACAAAGTGGGGAGGATGACTCTGAAAGTACAGCAGGATGGAAAGCCTTACTTCTGGTACATCAAGGCCAGCACTCACTGTGAAGTGTGCGAACACACTGGTGTACACTACAAACAGACCTACCACAACAGCAAAGCAGGGGGAGAGGTGCTAGGGGGACTTTCTGTGCCCCCAAGTCCAAGGTCTGCAGGGCTTAGTTGTTCCTTATACACTTTCCTCTAAAGGATGCTCTTTGGCAGGATCCTCAGATGCCCAGGGAATAGGACAACCGGGTCTGTGCATTAAGAACCTTTTTTATAGACTGCTAAGATCCCTGTGCTGGCAGGGGTGCTGAGGGTGCTGCAAATTTCACCTCCCCAAAGTCAGACCTAGGTCTAAAGATGCCTAGACAGCTATCTACTCTCTGGGCCACCGTTCTTACTCTGGTGGGGCCCTCAACCCTTTTATGAAGGGGTCACAGTTCCCTCCCCTTCCTTGGAAATCCAGGGCCCCTGTTTAGCACAGGGAGCTAGGAGCCATGGAGAACCCACCAACTATGAAATCAGCACCTGGGAAACCCATGTTAAAAATCTGTGACAATTATGAAACATTCGCCAAAAAGTATGCTAGAAAAGACCAATATTGCTACAGAAACAGGTGGGAGGTAAATAAAGGAGGTGGAATAGAACACACATAGAGAAGGAAAACAGATGACAGTCCAGGTGACAAAAAACAAAAAACAAACAAACCCAGGACACACATGGGGCAAGGCAATCACAGGTGGAGTTAATACTGACCAGGGGTCCAGTTCTGGGAAATTCTCAGTATTATTTTACATCTTGCTATAAGGTACTGAGCCTGGGGCTGGCAGGGCCTGTGACAGATGAAAACACACGCTAGGTCTTTCTAGTACATGCAGTGCTCAGCTACAACAGAGTAGCTGGCTTTACAAGAAATCCCACAACACACCAGGTACTGATATAGCCTTAACCTGGGGTTGGTCAGAGAAGGAAAGAGGTCCTGGTCCGACAGCAGAGACACACAGGACACCAGGGCTGTCTCCAGGGTGGTCCCTGCTCACGCTGGCTGGGAAGAATGGGGGACTGGCTGGCAGATGCTAGTAGATTTCGGGGAAGGGAAGAGAGCCAGAGAACCAGGGACGCTGAAACCAGAGAAGACGCTGTGATGGTACATCACTAACCACCATGCACAGTGGCTTTCGGGGCGCGGGGGGGGTGGGGTGGGCGGTGGTGGACAGGGGCAGAGGCCCACCAGTGCCTGGGCATGATGCCAGGTGTTAGTCCTGAAACCACAGCAGGCACCCATTCTATTAACCACTGGGAAAGAATCAGTGATTAGGGGCCTCAGTCCCAAGACTGAACATTCTCAGGGAATAATACTGGCCTTATTTTAGAAAGGAGGAACACCCAACAACCTTAATGTGGAAAATCTTACTTGCTGACTGCAATGGCATCGGTGCCTCTGTTTCCTCTAGGTAGCTGCTTCCAGGGAAGGGTGACAAGTACCAGCAGTTAGTCATCTGCCTGTCACTGAGGGTGGGGGATGCTGGTAGCAAGAGCATGGAAATCCATGTGTTACAATGACACGGGAAAAGAAGACCTCCTTCCCCTCCTTCTTTTTGCTTCTGCTCTGACCTTTCCACGAGGAGCCAGAAAGGCCAGATGGTGATGAAGCGGACAGTTCTACCTGCAAGGCTCACTATGAAATCTTCTCAGGGTGCGTGTTAGCTAGAAACCAGCAAAGCTGTTCTTTCCCTCCCACTTCCTTCTTCATCCCTTACCCTTCTGTCACTTCCTCCCCCATGAGGGCAAGAGGGGGGGGGGGGGAGAGAGAGAACAGGTACTCCTTTCATTTCCTAAGTACTGTGCATCTTGGTGGCACTAGCTCCCCCTCCATGGTGTCACAGACAACAGGGCAGGTTTTAAACTCCCACCAGGTTACAGATGACAGTTACTTCCAAGTGGTCTTCACAGTTGAGAAGGGCATACATTCCAGGAGGCAGCCTCTGGGGTCCCCCCATTCTCTCACGCACACACACTCACACAGATTCAAACGCAGTGGGAACAATGTGCAGCCACTGGGCTCAGTCAGCTCATGTCAAGTATTGCACCACGAGGAACATGAGCACACAGGTGAGCAGCATCCCACCGATCATAAAGTACTTGTCCTGGAAAGCCCGCTTCTCAATGAGCCGCATCACTGTGTTGGACAAGCCCAGCATGTTGGCAATGTCAAGGATCTTCTTCTGAGTCCCCTGGGGGCAGACAAGAAGAGAAAGAAAAACAACGATCAGCTCTTTTTGCCAAGGAATGGGACTTTACCAACAGACAGTTTCCTGGTCATGCCTGAAGCGTATAAAAAGCAGCATTAATCAGAAACAGAATCACGCTTATGGTCAAATGACTTCTGATCAGGGTACCAGAGCAAAGCAAGGAGGCAAGAAAAGTCTTTTCCACAAATGTGCTGGAACAAGGGACTCTAGGCACATGGGGATCACAGACACAGACACACACACACACACACTCACACACACACACACGTCTCATATATTTTATACCCATGTATGTGTGTGAAAAGATCCTCAATTCATATTATGCCCCCAAATTAATTTGAGATGGATCACAAAATTAAACACAAGCTTCTAAAGGAAAATAGGAGAATGTCCAAAAACTAGAAACCCAGGTGTACACCAAGCATAGAATGAGTAAACGACGTACAGTGAATCTTTGTACTAGAATACTACTTGACAATAAAAAGGACCTAATGACCCACATGGAACAACATCAAAGAGCCTGGAAAACATTCCTGAGAGGAAGAAGTCATACTTCCGAATACATTTATGTGAAGTTCAGTAACAGGCAAAACTACTTAATGGTGAGATAAATAAGAACAATGGTTGCCTGGAAGGAGGGGTAAACTGGCTGGGAAAGCAGGAGGGACTGTACAGGGCCAATGGAAATGGTCTGTCTAGAGAGCAGCGTGAGTTACAAAGGTGTGCACACTTGCCAAAATTCAATGACCTGCACACATTAGATCTGTGCGCCTCTTGTATGTACATTATATCTCAAGAAAAATTTTTTTACAATGTCTTATACATTTTCTTAAAAAAAAAAGGCAACATCAAAAAACTTTTCCTCTGCTTCTTAACTCCCAAACCCTGGCTATCAGCTTGTTCACCTTGTAGAATAGAAATTTCTGGGATTCTTCGGCGGGTAACGTGTGGGTCAATGTCCATGTTTATCAAAGGGTCTGAAGGGTACAATTAGCAGTGCCATGATCCCTTACAAAACACCACCAAAGCCAAAAGGATATTTTACTCCTAAATCAACAGCCCATAGCACCCAGCCTGCCCCTCCTCTTGGCTTTCTAATTTTTGTTTTTAAGCACAATTTCTTATGAAGTAATGAGTTTAAATGACTCCTAGGACAGACCCCATAGCCTACTTCCACACACGTCACCCACTGCATCCTTACGGATGGCATCTAACCTAATGCCCTACGTGCCTTTTTTAAATCAACAATGCATTAACGAGCAAGAGAGAAGAGGAAGAGGTGTAGACAACATGAGGCATCACAGACAGGAATTCAAAATCTAGGTTCAGCCCTGCAATGACGGACAAGCCTTACTGAAAGACATCTCTCAAGTCAAACTTTACTGTTGCGAGAAGGCCAAAGACATGTTTTTTCCATGACAGTAATGGTAAAATTTAGGCTCTCGCTAAAGATTCTGTTTAGGTCAGATTATTTTATTACTATATGAAGTGTAAGTAGCAAATCACTTGAAAATTAACATAAATTTCAAAAAAATGTATTCCTTTCCAACCCCAAATTTCCCCCAAATCATAGCCCAGTTCCTTCATGCTCTCTCCTATGTTCCTTTCAAATGGTTTAGGCAGAAAACCCCAACAGGACTGGGGTGGGAGGAGGGAATCAAAAGACTTTAAAAGACAGGTAGGCAGCAGTAGATATCCAGAGGAAACTGAATCAGAAACCTCACATTCCAACCCCAACCACCTTGCCAGGCTTCCCGGCACTTCCTTCTGGGGACAGTGTAGGGGCAATGTTGCTTGGACTCCCCAGTGATACGAGACTTTGCGAGGACATGAACATTTGTTTTAACAATAAGCTCTAACTGACCCCACCTCCGAGGTACATGGGTACGACATGGGGAGTCTTGTCCTAAAAGACTTTTACTAGGGCGCCTGGATGGCTCAGACGGTAAGTGTCCAACTCTTGATTTTGGCTCAGGTCATGATCTCAGGGTTGTGAGACTGAGCCCCTGATCAAGACCCACCATGGGTCTGCTTAAAATTCTTTCTCTCTCCCTCTGCAAGCTCCGCCCCTCCCCCCCAATCAAAAATAAATAAATAAAAGGGTTTTACTGTTTTACTGGGTTGTGGGCTGTTTTCTAAGGAAAATGTAGATTAATCATCATGTATCAGTTGAGATTACTGCAGGTGGCCACTCGTTACGGTGGCACCCGTGAAGCTGTCAAGAGACCATACTTCAGGACCACAAGCACCACCACAGCCAGTGGCAGGTTAATTGTCCCTCGCGGCTTGCCTGACCTTCTCCCTGGTAAAGATGGCAGGGGCTGGTCAGCAATGTACCAAAGGCCTGTGGTGCTGACAGGCTCAACGTGGTCCAAAAAAAACTAAGATAAAGTTCACACTTCCGAGTGACTGTTTCTCACAGCTCAGTGGCCGGGACTGCTTCGTTCACAGGGGACCACACCCTGATAATAGGCGCAGCCCACACCCCATTATCCATCAGGGCTGATACAGGAAAAGGGCTGAGGCTAAAACACCACGATTGACATCAGAATCTGTGTAATGTTTCTGTAAACCACTCCCGGGGAAGGGGTGGGAGGCAGGGGGGAGTTGGAGTCTCAGCCAATGGGGCAGGGCTTCTAGAAAACACCTGTGACTACCAAAAGTACAGAGGTGCTATAGCTCAGCAGCAGGTGCTCTAGAAGCCATCTGCCACCAGGCAGCTAGGGCAGCCCTAAGCCCCCACCACTCACTACTATCCGCTTCGGTTACAGGTGCACAAAAGATGTGGTGTCCAAGGTGGTCCACAGGAGGGGCTCTCCAAGAAGCCACGGAGGGGGAGGTGCCACATACGGCCGCATCTGCCTTCTTAGAATCATGGATTCTGTAATTTCTGAAATTGTGGAATTTCTTGGATCTTACTGGTTCCTTCTGTAGTGGCCACTGTCACGAAAGGTTCGGGACAGGGAAAGGACCTAGGTACCAAGAGATGCCAAATCATGCTTCACAGTGAGCACAAGAAATAGCTACTGGTAAAGGGAGCATGGTGACCCGTGGACTTGCAATAATTCAGCTCCGACAGGAAGAACCTCAGGCTCCATCAAAATCTCAAAATGTGAAGATAAAGAGCCGAAAGGTAAATGCGGGTGCCAAACTGTTGGAGGAGGCCAAGACAAGGGGCCTGGTCCCTGTCCCCCGGAAGTGCCCCACCTTCAAAGTCAGTCTCTGGGCCCTTAGTCCCTCCAGAATACTGTGCCCTCCTCCAATGAGGTCATCCATGCCGTGGTGAATTTTCTGGAGGGAGGAGTTGAACTGCAGCGAGTCATCCATTGGGATGGTGGTGTCAGAGTCCTGTGAAAGAGACGCAGGCACTGGATTAGCTCTGCTGGCTGCTCGGCTCCTGGGATCCCGTCGCACCTGGCCACTCTGCCTTTGGGCCAAGGCCAAACTCGAGGAATAGCCAGAGGGAATGGTGCAAGAATCAAAGGAACCGAATAGAGAGGAAAATGCAAAGCAGAGACCTGGGTGGCCTCTGTTCGCTCAGAGCAAGAGCAACCTTCCTCAGATGTGGCACTCTGCAAACGAATCTGTTACATGAAGCCCGTTAACTCCTGCCTCTCTGCCATGACCATGGTCTAGGACAGATGTCAGTCCTTCAAGGCCTTGCTGGGCTCCTCCTAAAGGCTTTCTCTGACCATGAACTCAGCCTGTTCCACACGTTCCTCTCCTTTGCTTTCCCTTAACGCAATATTAACTGTTTGCTTTTGGTCTGCAGCTGTTTTATCTACAGCTTATCACTGCAATTAGATTGAGACTAAGGGTAGAGAAACCTGTGCTTTCCATCGAAGGCCAAAGCGTGGCCCGGATGGGACAATTCTAAGCAGGCAAGAAAGGTCTGGAAAGAAAGGGAGGAAGGGAAAAACAGATGTTGATCAAGCCCTTTCCACTCTGCGTGCACATTGCCCTAAGCTCCCTATATCTTCATGCAGACATTACGGCCTAATTACCATAGCATTCCCATTTTAGAGGTGAAGAAACTGAAGCCCAGAGAGGTGGAGCGGCCTGTCTCGGCTCATGCAGAGCTAAGTTCAGTGGGGCCTGCATCTCACTACTGAGAGCGAGCCTGCCCTCTTAATCATCCTGTAGAGACCAATTGGAGACTGGCCCTGGAACTCTAAGTTTACACCAAAGTAGACTGTATACAGCAGTCAGGACTGGCTGTAATGCTGTTTTTTCCTGCCTCCTGATGATGGCACGCTCCTCAGTCTGCCAAGCAGTGCCATTCCCATCTCTTTTGATCATCACGAAGAAGCTAAACCACCTGATCTTTGCTCCCGAGTTCAGAGCCATTTTTCATGCACCTACCCTCAATCCCCGCAGATGACACGCTTCTCACAGGTAGGAGTCATGGCTTTGTATTTTTCCACAAGCTTTACTCTTGGCACCCTCCAAGGTGTTCTGCACACGGCTAATGGTCAGTGGGGCAAAGACTCCAGTGTTTGAATGAATCAACGAGCGGCTCTGACAGGCATTTGCAGAATGTCTTTTATATACAAATTTTTCTTACCCTCCCACCTGAAAGGGTATATACAGCTCATGGGGAAAAATGTATTATAGTTGCAGCTCACAGAATGACCAGCAAGTACTTCATTTGGCAAGTCAATTTTCTCTAGGGACACTGTCTACACAGTCCCACACCAAGCTGGTAAGAAACAAAATAATTGGGATCCCTGGGTGGCGCAGCGGTTTAGCACCTGCCTTTGGCCCAGGGCGCGATCCTGGAGACCCAGGATCGAATCCCACGTCGGGCTCCCGGTGCATGGAGCCTGCTTCTCCCTCCGCCTGTGTCTCTGCCTCTCTCTCCCTCTCTGTGTGTGACTATCATAAATAAATAAAAATTAAAAAAAAAAAAAAGAAACAAAATAATTCTGAGTGATCGTCCCAGGCCTAAAACAGGCCTGAATACCCAGTGCTGTATCAGACGCCCACACACCTTTTAGTGGGTTGGATAGTTCATTGCACCTCTTGAAGAGCAGCTATGAAAATCTGAAACTTATAATTAATTAATTAATTAAAATTTTTTTAAAAATTAAAAAATTTTAAAAATTTAAAAATTTAAAAAAATTAAAAAGAAAATCTGAAACTACAAAAAAGACAGCTATCCTTACCATTAGACCACCAACATGTCCTCGTTACACTTTTGAATTGTTAATCATTGTTACGTGACTGCTTACCCTAGAGAAGCAAAAACTATGCAGGCACATTCAGGGAAATTTATTGCCAGTGTAGACACAGCAAAGAGACTTAAACATCTGTGAAATGTGGACTGGTCTGAATTCTGATGGCAGACTTTGAAAGCTAAGATCTTGTTAGAAAATGAACCTCTTGGGGATCCCTGGGTGGCGCAGCGGTTTGGCGCTTGCCTTTGGCCCAGGGCGCGATCCTGGAGACCCGGGATCGAATCCCACGTCGGGCTCCCGGTGCATGGAGCCTGCTTCTCCCTCTGCCTATGTCTCTGCCTCTCTCTCTCTCTCACTGTGTGACTATCATAAAAAAAAAAAAAAAAAAAAAAAAAAAAAAAAATTAAAAAAAAGAAAATGAACCTCTTGGGACACGTGGGTGGTTCAGTGGTTGGGCGCCTGCCTTCGGCTCAGGTTGTGATCCTGGGATCTGGGATGGAGTCCCACATCGGGCTCTCTGCAGGGAGCCTACTTCTCCCTCTGCCTGTGTCTCTGCCTCTCTCAGTCTGTGTCTCATGAATAAATAAATAAATCTTAAAAAAAAAAAACAAAAAAAAACCTCTCTGTAAAACAAAACAAAACAAAACAAAACAAAACATAACAAAAAGGCCTCCAAGCCCAGCTCACTTGACGAAAATATATTACACAGGACATGAGAAAGGCCAGTGTGCTCTATAGCCATGTGCAGGAAATGAGCCCATGGAGACCCGAGGGCAGGGGCAAGGGTATCCCAAAAATCCAACATGTGAACCAACAGGCCACTTTTGAACAGGCTCAAGTTAAGCAATCTGTCCAAAACAAAGTATCTGTTAACAAATTCCTTCAAATGCCTGCTCAGATTAGGGGCAAAAACATTTTAATGCATCTGACGCTGGAACCACACACAGACACAGCACAATGGTGACCGCCCGAAGGCAGCTTTGAAATGCTGCCCTCTTGACAAATGGTCTCCATTCTAATCATCTGTCTCAATCTGATCAGAAAAACGTTTCCACCACGTGAACTTCCACCTCTCCGTCAAACCAGGTCATTTTTACCTCTGCCCATTCCCTCAATTCAACTGCTTTCTTTTCAGGTTTCTGTATTAGAAAAAAAGAGATTTCCCGTCTAGGTCTAGTGGCTGTGGCAATGCACAAAGTCCACCATCATTTCCAGTTAGTCTCCTCTTGCTCAGTTGGCTTCAGATACCCCCCAAAAAGGATGAAGCTCCAAGACCCCAGCCGCAGCTCCAGTGAGCCGCCCAGTACCTGCAGATCCCCACCCCAGGAGCCTGGCTTACGTTAGTGGTGAAAGTGCGAGACAGGAGCGCCTCTCGCTGTCTCTCCTGCTGTTCCCTCGCATATCGCCGATGCTGGAAGTTACTGAGAGCAGTCTGCAGATGCTGGACATCATACTTTAACTGGTCAACACGACTGGAATTAATGGAGAGAGAGATTACATTCCGGAAACTCAGGCAGCACACTTAGAGTAGCCAGGCTTTGCATTCAAGATGTTTCCTTACTTCTCCCTACATCACTGTGTGTTATCCCCGCTAAAATCATCTGATTTTGATCAAGGATATTGAAACTAAAAGCAGCAGCCTGTGGTCAAAGCAAGGTTGTAGCACACAAGATTCCAACAGCTTTTCTTAAGCATCTGCTGGTCTCTGATTCTGGATGCATGACAGGGAACAGGTGACAGGAAGCAGGCTCAAAGACCTCTCCCTGACCTTCTATGGATTAGATCGCTTTCCAAGAAGCCCAAGGGCATCTTTTGAGTAAAGCATCAACAAAGTTTCATAAAACTTTAGGGAGCAGGGGCTGGGGTGGAGGAGGTGAGGGGAGTTTTATTTTAATTTTATGGGGGAATATCAAACATTAGATCGGTAGTTCATTATAAACTGAAGTGATTAAGGGCAAGATTTCATTTCAACCCAAGAATGCAGCGGGAACCAAAGGGTAGGGCAAATCTCCCTGGCAGCAGCAGGATTCAAGTGGGCAATCTGGTCAGAAAAACAGTACTTGGAGGCAAAATTTTAGAATGACCCAATATAAAGAGATACGAAGCTTCTGAGCCGCCAGCCTCACAGGCTTTTTATGTTGAGGAAGAATCCCTGAAGTGGAATTGTGCCCTTTAGGGACTTTGCCAGCTTTATCTTTACAGAGTCTCAGTTTTTCAATGTGTAAATGGATTTTCAGAATATTCGATAGCCTCCCCTGGCTAGCTCTGATGGGCTGGGGGTGTCAGAGCACTCACAGTTTGGCATTCTGTCTTTTGTTAGGGGGCTCCTTGCTGGACAAAATCTCCAGACGCTCTAGATGGTTGAATATCTGGTCTATGCTTGCTTGGATTTCGTTTTCTACTACTGCACAAAAGAGAAAAAAGAATAATTGCTGGAAAAGAGACAGTGAACTTAAATTAGAATGATACATTAAACACATCTTTTTTCCATATCCAATAAATTCAAAGAAACACATTTGAAAAGGGAGAAAAATGGAAGTACCACTGAGTAACAGGAAAAAATTCAAGTTACACTAAGTGACTCTGTAAACGTTGTTCTAAATACATACACACACACAACACACACACATATATGTAGCTGTTAAAGCCATAACAATGCCAATTTTTTAAAAAGCTAGATAAATCTGTAGAAATAAATTTCCTGCCTTTAGAAATGAAATATTTTAAGCGAAATGCAGTATCTTCTGAAACAGAACGAGGTCTCTTTTCCTTTGAGATTATTCTCAGATACAAGTTATAAATATCTAGTATAAAGGCTGCCAATTGAATTCCCTACAGTAATGAGGTTAAAAGAAAAAAAAAAAAGCACAAAGGGGAAGATTAGTGTGTGAAACACAGAGAAGCGCTCCCTTAAGGCTTTCCATAAGAATGGGCAAACTGACGTTGCAATCCCCAAAATAGACCAAATATCACTAGGAAAGGCCCAGGAAAGAATCCTCAGAGGTAAAGATATGATAAATACACTCATTTTCCTTATCCCTTTTGATAAACAGTCGAAATGACCTCTTTTCTATCTCTAATCGTGTGACAATGAGAATGCTGGGAAGGCAAACAGAGCCCATGGACACTAACTGTGCACAAAAAAAGGGCACCCAGACTGCTTCTTGCTGAGTAAAGTCATGATGGCAGACAGTGATGTCACCGTCCTGGGCCAACCTACAGCTAACAAACACAGTTTAGATTAGAACAAGGTGGGCACAGAACCCAGAAAAGAGACACTTCTGAAGCTGCAGAAAGAAGGTACTAGTGGACCGAATATGGTGCACTCAGAGCCAGGTAGGGAGGTGAAGGGGTGGCCTCCACAGTGTGTGGGTAACCAGCAGTGCCCCTATGACCAGCTCTGGGACAGGACCTTTCCTTGTAACAGAGAAGAAACTACAAAACAAAAAGCAGTGCTCTTCTCCAAAGAAACCATGGTGTGGGAACTAAACCAATTAATATTGCTATTCGTTTCTGAATAATCCTCCTAAAGAGCCACAGTTCTCAGCTCAGAAGAAATGACCAATTCCAGTTAAATATCCCTGAAGTGGTATGGAGTACATTCCTCTAAGGGCTTGGTAATTAGATTAAGACAGATGGAGGAGAAGAACGTCCATTCCCATAGGGCCATGTCAGGTTGAGTGGAGGGGTAATGGGGGATAAGACTTGTGGGATTCCACAGGGTGCAATCAGGGAAGTCAGGGACTTTGCCAGAGGGTTTTTCTGTCCACCCCAACAACAGAACTCATTCTGCGCTGAATCATTAAGCCCCTGAGGCAGAAATGCAGTCAGGAAACCCAGCCCATTAGCATCGTGTCATCAGAGAAAGGACTCTGGTCTCCATAGTTAATTACTCACAGTGCAGAGACTGCTTGTCTGCCGTCTCCAGGCGTGCCATGTGAGACTGGATCTCATGGACCTGCCTATCAAAGGAAGAGAGAGGAAATGAGTGAGACAGGAGTAATCAACAGTGCTTGGGTCAGGAAAGACACGTTTTCTGATGCCAACATGTAACTGATTTAAATTGACAGCATCACTGAACTGTAAAATTTGTAAGTGGCACTTTAGGCCACATGTTTTGGCATGATTTCTAACATTTTAACATGAACATGAATAATAATACCGACAGGCAGCATTTATTGAGCCCTTGCCACATATCAGACATCCTGCAAAGTCAATAACCCCATGAGGAAAGTACCATTATCATCTTCATTTTATAAATAAGACAACTGTAGCGCAGAAAGGTTATGTACTTGTTCAAGGTCACACAGCAAGTGATAAACCCCAATCTGGACCCAGCCAATCCCACTCTCTGTTCTTTGACCCAATGTGCTGAGCGCTGGTCTGTACTAGGGAGGGCCAAAGGGCAGGACAGATATAATCCTTGTCCTTGAGAAACAATGTAATTAGGAATGACAGGCCAGAGAGACATGAGAAGTCCCAAGAAGATTTGAGGGAGCACTAATACATATAAGTCTAAACAAAAAGAAAGCTGAGGAACTGTGCCTGGTGGTGCCAAGCAAAGGCAAGCACACAGGAGAGTAAGCTGGAGGGAACAGGTGGGGTGAAGGCAGTTCTGAAGATCATTTTGAAGACATGATCTACTGAGGGAAGAGATGAAGAAAATGGTACCCAAAGAGGCATGTCAGGTGGATTACCATCAGGCTCGCCGGCCTGGAAGAGATTTGGGGTCAGAGGGGAGAAGGGATGAGGCTATCAGTTGGAGATGATCAGAGAAGGTCCTGAAAGATAGAGATCTCCTGTTTGGTAAACATCTTTCCCCAGCAATACCAGGTGATTGCTATCTCTTTTGGAAATGCAACACTGTACCCTGGACCTCTGGCACAATCCCAGACATCAGGCCCTGGAGCACTCTCCAGAGGCTCCCCTGGGCTTGGCCAAGGTCACCCTCGGAGCCCTTCCTGGCAGGCCTGTGTGATCAGTCCTGAATACTGCCTCTGTTGCCCCCAACAACTGCCTCCTAGTGTGTCTGGTTTTTCCACATTAGAGGCACATGGGAGGAGTCTGCTGAGCTCTTCTATCACCTCCAACCCTTGAAAGATTAGCAGCCATCCTCCACCATGAGCACCAACTGTGAACCCAAATTTACCAATGCAAGCCAGGAGTCCAAAGTTGGTTTCAACTTCCTCTCGTCTTTTCCCAGGGCTTTCCTGAAACCTCTAAACATGACCCATGGCACCAGAAGCAAGGCCAGCTCTCTAATGACCCTGAGTGCGCCTGGGTGAGACGCATGGCCCTAAGAGGAAACTAGAAATCACTACTAGAGATGGAGAGACCAGACTGCTACTCCAGTCAGGTAAGTCCTGAGAGTTTAGAATGAGGGCACATGAGATTTGGAAGCAGATACAGGAATGCAGCTTGACTTAAGCAACATCTGGATCAGGGTTACCATAGGAACGGCAGTAGAAGAACGCATGGCAACGCTGATGGAAAGGAGAATTAGGATTTCACAGAAGGCCTGAACATAGGCAGTGAGGCAAATTTTCAGTGGTAGCTTCATAGAGCAAATCTGAAAATTAGCAGCATCACTGACAGGAATGGAACATAATACAAAAAGGGGTGGGGGGCAGAGAGTATCCAAGACAACTCTGAATTTCAAAGTATGAGAGAGATGACCTGCCCCACCTGCTATTAACACTTATTACAAAGCTATAATAACAGGGGGTTCTGGGTGGCTCAGTAGTTGAGTGTCTGCCTTCTGCTCAGATCGTGATCCCAGGGTCCTGGGATCAAGTCCTGCATCAGGCTCCCCACAAGCAGCATGCTTCTCCCTCTGCCTATGTCTCTGACAGTCTCTCTGTGTCTCTCATGAATAAATAAATATTAAAAATAAAAACAACCCACCAACGCCATAATAATAAAAACAATATGGTAGCAGTACAGAGACAGACAGACGAACCCTGACCCCAACCCTGACCAAGAAACAAAGAATAGAGGCTAGCTAGAAAGAGCTCTCCATGTTTGGGAACTCAATGACATAAATGAGTGGAAAAAAGAAGGTACTAGAGTCAATGCCAAAGGCTCATTTTGTTACCCATATAGCAGACGATATCTCACATAATACACAAAAATAAACTCCAGATGGTTTAAAGCCCAAATGGAAAAAGCAAGGCTTTAAAACTTTCTGAAGAAACTGATGAATCACTGAACTCTACCTCTGAAACTAATAATATACTACATGCTGATTAACTGAATTTAAATTAAAAAAACTTTCTGAAGAAAATATAAAAGTGCATATTATGACCTCAGGCTAAATAACTTCTTAAGACAAAAAACAAAACTATCCCCAAACCTCACAAACCACAAGGCTGGTAAATTTGAGTACGTGAAAACAAAAAATTTTTCTGCAGCAAAGGTGCCATAAAAACAAATAAATAATAAAAGGCAGAGACTGGAAAATGCCTGGAACAAGTAGAAAGGACTCCTGTCTAGAATATATAAGAGGAATGCTACAAGTCAACAGGAAAAGTCAAACAGAGAACTTCTGTAAAATGTGCAAAAGGCAACTGACAGTAGAGAAAACCCAAACAGTCAATATAAAGATACTTCCCTTGACCAGCAATCAGGAGAAGGCAAATTTAAAATAATGAGACATCACATCTCATTGGATTGACAAGTATTTTAAGCTTTAAGGATGAGGGCTTCATGGCAGGCTAAATGAGGTACCCAAAGGATCCTAGGGGAGATTTCCAGCATTCTACCACAGGGCTGCCTTTGGCTTTATGTTTTGTCCAATTTTTTTTTAAAGCCAACATATGAAATTTGCACATGATTCTGTGCTATAAAGAGTAGTTAGACTGGGTGGCGGGCACTGGGGTGGGCACTTGACAGGATGAGCACTGGGTGTTATTCTGTATGTTGGCAAATTGAACACCAATAAAAAATAAATTTATTATTAAAAAATGAGTAGTTAGGATATTGTACTGCAAAATAAATATTAATGTTTTTCATTTAGGCTAAAATAGTAAGATGAAATTTGTCAGGGATGAAAAGTATTTTGACTTTTTTAAAAAGTCACATGTACAATACTGAACGGCACTCCATTCTGGGAGCCATATCTGTTCAAGGACCGTGTCTATTAAAGGCTTCCCCTAATGGAAGATGATGAACAAGATGACTGGGAAAGAGTCTAGAAGTCAAGTCACAAAGAGGAACTGTCAAAAGAGCTAGTGATAGTAAGCCTCTGAGGAAAGAAAAGGGGGGAAAAAACCCCTCTATATTAAAACGGGGAAGTTGGTGCTCTTCAAATATCTAGAGTTGACATACAAGAAAAGGAACAGGCTTGTTCTCCATTGCTGCTCCTTAAAGGAGATCCAGAACCAAAAGGTCCAGATTTCAAGATGACAGATTTCAACTCAGCATACCCCCTACCCCTCAAAAAACCCTGGAGAATAATTATGAACTCTCATTCTTCAAGAAAAGGAACAAGGAAAAGGAGAGTTCCTGCATGTCTGCCTTGGATTTTATAAAGGGTTTTTCTGACCAAAGTGTGTTGGAATGGAAAATCTTGCCAGTCCCTTTCAATTCTTTAAAAAAAAAAAAAAAATTTTTTTTTTTAGATTTTATTTATTTATTTGAAAGAGAGAGAGAGAGAGAGAGAGAGAGAGGAGAACACACAAGCAGGGGGAACTGCAGGCAGAGGGAAGAGATGCAGGCACCCCACGGAACAGGGATCCCAGGACCCTGGGATCATGACCTGAGCCAAAGGCAGATGCTCAACCACTAAGCCACTCAGGCAAAAATTTTTTTTTTAATTTTGAGATAGAGCACACGTGTCTGCATGTGTGCAACCTGGTGGGCAGGGAGCAGCAGAGGGAGGAGGAGAATCTTAAGCAGGCTTCATGCCCAAGGCAGACCCCAATCCTGGGCTCAGTCAACCCTGAGATCATGACCTGAGTCAAACTCCTAACCAGCTGTGCCACCCAGGTGCCATCCTCCTTCAATTCTTAAATTCTATGAGGACAGAGGGAGAGATGGTTGCAACACCTACCCTTTAAACACCCTTCATTTGGCTTTTACTGGTTTCTAAGCTAAAACAGGTAAACTTTAAGTTGTAGGAAAACATTACTGACTTTTCCCATCTAAGCTCTATTATAGGCTTTGAATGAACTAGAAAAGATACTGCCAAGAAAATGATTCCAATCTCTACATTTCCTACCTGAGAGGAAATAAATGCAAAATAACCAAGCAAGTATTAATTAATGACAGGGTGGGAACTACAGTATGCTAAGCGGGAAATCTGTTTTATTTTCTTTTAAAGATTTTTAATTTATTTATTCATGAGAGACACAGAGAGAGGCAGAGACACAGACAGAGGGACCTGCAGAGAGCCTGATGCGGGACTTGATCCAGGACCGGGATCACACCCTGAGCTGAAGGCAGATGCTCAATCACTGAGCCACCCAGGCATCCCAGGAAATCTGTTTTGAACTGGGAATTCACAAACACACTTGAAGCCAATACGGAACAGGTGATACACAGGTATGACTTGGGAGTGTGGACACTAGAAACTGTTAAGTCCTAGCCCCATTCAGCACGGGGTCCATGGTGGGCTTGGGTAATAATATAAACAAACAGAGACCCTAATAACAAGTCACTGTTGCTGACTCAAAAAAAAAAAAAAAAAGTCTGCAGAAGATCCAGGAAGAATTTTAAAATGAAGTTGTCTTTTTAAAGTCCATGGAACCACCCTAATGCCCCTTCAGATAACCCACTTTGTATCCATTATGCCTCTGACCACTGTAAGCAGGAAACAAAGTTTTGGAGTTAAAAGAAATTGGTTTCAAGTTCTGGTTCCACTACATAGCAGCTGAGGGACCATGAACAAGTCATTTAACTCCCTGACGCCTCAGTCTTAGGTAAAATAGGGTATTAACAATCACAATTATTTAAAGGCTCATAGATCCAAATGCAGTATGAAACTGCTGTGTAACCTACATAGCATCACAGAAACCTTAGTGGTTGTTTTTACTTAAAAGTGGTGGGAACCATCTGGCCATTTTCATCTCCCTGACCTTGCTTCTACCACATTTAGCCTCTCACCAGAAGGCAAAATCAAAAAAAGGTAAAACTGACCTTGGGATAAAGTAATAGTTTTTACACCCAACTGCTCATCAAAATCACTTGGGAGAGCTTGTTAAAAATAGAGCTTCTTCTGCTCCAGACCTAATGAATCAGAATCTCTAGAGATAACAAGGTGCAGAGCACTGAATGGTCCTGAATGATATAGAGGACAAGTATGGGCACTGGAATATCGAAAATAGAAGCCTGGCTACTTATTCCTCTATGATGTTCATTCAAATGAAGTTTTATTTAAGTATAAAATGTTTATTTTGATTTTCATCCTTTTTTTTTTTCTTTTCACTCGTTGTTCATGTGGTGCTTCAGGAGCTTTCAAGACACCTAATTTTAAAATATCAATCTCAAAATAAATAAATTAATTAATAAAATAAAATATCAATCTCCTTCCAACGTACTTTCAGGGACACCGCACAAGATAACCACCAATTGGGTTCAAAGTCCCAGCAAAATTCATATGCTCGGTTACTGCCGTGTCAATTCAGTCAGACAATCGTTAATTTCTGCCAACTGCAAAAGTTAACTGCTGATGCTCACAGGGTTGCGTCTTCCTCTTTAAGACACTCCATCACCAGTTATTATGAAGCTGAAAGGAGCCTCGGAGTTGAACCAGCCTCAGACATTTCACAGATCAGAAAAATAAGGTGAAGAAGTCTAGAACCAGGACTCCCAGATTCAGCACTTGAGAAGAAAAGACTAACTGTAAAAGACCAACCCTTCCTTAGCAACATGAGAAATGCCATTCCTTCTCCAATGGACTCACAGGCTGAATTTTTTTTAATCCCTTCCTGTAATTTTGATGAGACCAGGGCTCCGGGGTGAGAACCATATTCTGTCATTTTAATACCGTTACAAAGTAGGTTCTGTAGTGTCACCCAAACCAAACACTCCATCACTATGGTCTTTAGTATAAACCAGATCAGAATAAAAGCGCAAGGGGGGGGGGGAGTGTCGCAGCAACAAGCTTAGTGTCGATGAGCAGTAGGTGCTGACATCATTTAGGAACTGTGAGCTACAATGAAGCTTTTTCTGACCTTAGCCCAGGGACGGCTCTTTCTAAATTGCTAAAGAAGATTCCGCTCCTTTACCCTCCATCGCATCCTGTCACACCTTAGATCGGTCTCCGGACTGTCCAACAGTAATCTATGTGGAGGGGCCCTGACTTCCCACCAGCTCTATCAATCCAGAGCGCTGAGTTGGCAGGTGCTGGACAAAGCATTATGATCCATAAGCGTGACTTTCCCTTCGCCCAGTCTACCCAGCAGGTAGTTGCGGCCTCGAAGATCCCAGGAGCCATCCGGCCCAACGTCCCCAGGCATCAGGTCGGACCCTCCAACCGCCGCCGACCTGGGCACCCCGCCTGAGACTGAGCGCTTCCGAGCTGCCCCGGGCAGCGCCCAGCCGGAAGGACTCGGCCTCTACACCGGCGGACGCCCGAGGCCCCAGCCAGGGGAGCCGGCCTCGCCCAGCCTGGCTGCGCCCCCGCCCGTGCCCCGACGCGGCCCTCACTTGTGCGTTTGCTGGTATAGCGGCTCCATGTCGCCGGCCGCGCCGGGTCCGGCCCTGGCTTCCTCGGAACACGTCCTCACAGAGCCCTTTCCGGTTTCCGGCTTCCGGCTTCCGGTCGCAGGACCCGCCCCCTCCTGCCAGCCAGGGCTGCCCCCACGCGCGCCCGGCTGGCGGTGGTGGCGAGAGAGGAGGAGGGCAACGGGAGAAGAGGCCCGGGCAAGAGGGCCAGGTGTAGTCAGAGGCGCTGCGGCAGATCGGGGACGAGGAAACGTGGGTTTGGGCCGGGGGCGGTCTTCAGCATCAGCTCAGGCGTTGACCAGGGCAGTCGGAGAGGACCGACGTGGGGTCCTCAGAGCCCGGCTGCGGGAGAGCAGGAGGATGGATCCCTGCCCTTCCCTGGGGTTGGCTTCGCCGTCGACTGCTCCGCTGTGGGATTGGATGGAGATTTCGCTCATCGCTGTAGTGTCTGCCCCGAGCTTCTCCTGTGTCAAATCTGTCCGCTTCCTACCCTCCCTGTTCCCCCCTCCCCCATTATCCTTCCAATAAACTCACAATGAATGAGCGGTTAGTTACTATGTGTGCAGTAGGGGAAACCGGGCTCCTCTTGCCCTCCAAAGAGGTCGCGGGCTAGGAAGTAAGATAAGTATACAAATAAGTCCAGACAGGCTGAGCTGAGCCGGGGTCAGCCCCGTCGAAGATTCAGGAAAGACTCTTAATGTAGGATGTGGCATTTGAATTAGGACTCGAAGGATTGGGACGCTTCGGTCTCTCTCTCCACAGAGACCTAACCCGTGTCCACCCTCCCAGGCTTATCTGCAGTTCCTCCCAAGGGAGGAGATGTTCCTCTTCCTTTGACAAGTTGATGCTTTTATTTTCCTGTATCCTGGAGCCCACCCAGTTTTGTGTCCTAAGAGACTGTTCACCCGTGTACATTCTTTCCCAAACATTTTCCCATTCTAATTCTTAATGAGCACCTACTATTACCAGGCACAGATACAGGGAGCAGGAATACAGGAAAGATAGCCTTCAAATCTCTCATCTCTCGTAGTCTGTTGACAGGGCTAATTATGCCCTCCAGCTACATTATCAAGTAGAAAAGTGCTACAGTTGATACAAAGTACCTTTTTTTTTTTTTTTCTGGAGAAAAGCAAAAAGGGTTCTTGGATGAAAGAGCCTATGAATGGGGCCTTCAAGAATCAAGTGTTTTGTTTTTGTTGAAGAATCAATAGAATTTTAACTGTGGGGATCCCTGGGTGGCGCAGTGGTTTAGCGCCTGCCTTTGGCCCAGGGCGCGATCCTGGAGACCCGGGATCGAATCCCACGTCGGGCTCCCGGTGCATGGAGCCTGCTTCTCCATCTGCCTGTGTCTTTGCCTCTCTCTCTCTCTCTCTATCATAAATAAATTAAAAATTAAAAAAAAAGAATTTTAACAGTGTCTTGCACATGCTAACCCCTCTGTAAATGTTTATGTTTAAAAAGATTTATTTTTTTTTTGAGAGAGAGAGCAGAGGGTAGGGGCAGAGGGAGAGGGAAAGAGAGAATCTCAAGCTGACCCCCCCACCCAGTGGAGCCCAATGCTGGGCTCTGTCCCAACACCCATGAGATCGTGACCTGAGCAGAAACCAACAGTCAGTCTCTCAACCAACTGAGCCACCCAGGTGCCCCTGTAAATGTTTATTTTGTTGGCCTAATGGAGATGAAGGGAAGGACGTTTGCAGCCGAGGGGATAGCTTGAGAAAAGGAAAATAATGGGAAAGAACATAGACCTCTTGTGGCTGGGTTTAGGGGCCTTGGGGGCAATAATAGTGTGAGAAGGAAAGTTGGAGCCAGTTCATGGGGGATCTTCAATGTCATGTGTAAATTTTTATTTATAGATTTTTTAAGAAAATTCTGTAAGTAGTTAGAAGCTTTTAGAGGTTGGAAAGAAATTTTGAATTTTCTCAATTTTTATGCCTATGTCTTGCTCTTCTTTGGACCTCACAGCATCCCAGTGAGGTGGGTAAGGCAGATAAGGAAATTGAAGTCCAGAGGACCTCCCCTCTGCTTCTCAGTTTCTTAGGTCTTTATTATGGGCGTAGGGCTTTCTCTAAAGAGAAGAAAACTCCATCTTGCTGTGCTTTTAACTATCTTATTTCTTTTAATGACTAAACCACCTTGACAATTGATCTACACTGCCAACATCTCTGTGGATGGCCTGCCTTCCAATCTCTCCTTTGTTCTCCTAGAGCTGTTTTCTAGCTCCTCAGAGTCTACCTGACTTAGTCCAGTGGTCTCTTTCCATGAATTTTCATACATATATTCATTGAACTCATATACATATTCATTGAACTCAAACTCATATCAGGCACAATGCAAGGTTTGGGACACAAAGATGAGTAAAACACCCATCAGTTTGCCATAGACATTCTTTATTGTTTTAAATTTAAAATCAATTAAATAACATGGAGTGTATTATTAGTTTCAGAGGTAGAGTTTAGTGAGTCATCAGTCACATATAACACCCAGTGCTCATTATATCAAGTGCCCTCCTTAATGCCCATCACCCAGTTACCCCATCCCCCCTCCCCTCCAGTGACCCTCAGTGTGTTTCCTAGAGTTAAGAATATTTTATGGTTTGTCTCCCTCTCTGATTTCATCTTATTTTACTTTTCCTTTTTTAATATACACATCTACACAGAGGGAAAATATCTACAGAGATCATTAGAATACCACATGGCAAGTGTGGGATAGAGATAATTAGGACCTATGTGATGGCAGAGAAGTGACACTTAGCCTAGTTTGGGGATTCAAGAGGACTTCAAAGAGATGATGATACCTGAACTGAGTCTTGATTTATTTATTTAATGCTAGTTACATTATTACTCATGATGCTGCATCATCCTTCACACTTCACATGAATACTGACTTCTGATGACCCAAAGTTTGTTACTGTGCTTCCCTGATGATGACACTAATGGTGAGTTTTCCCTAGAGTATGGAGGAAAATATGAGTAACTATTCACTGTTCAGAATTTTTTTTAGTATAAATTTATAATAATATACCTTCCAACTATGTCTTCTCTTGAATTCTTCAGGTCTTAATCCCTGCATTCCTAGAATATGATCTCTTTCAGTGTTGACTGCACCCCTGCCTTCCACACACTGAAACTAGTTAGCAAAGGAGAAAGGGTAATTAGGCTGGAGGTACATGGATGAAGTGAGAAAAGAAGTCCCCAGAGCAGCCCGGGTGGCTCAGCAGTTTAGCGCCACCTTCAGCCCAGGGCCTGATCCCAGAGACCCTGGATCAAGTCCCACATCAGGCTCCCTGCCTGGATCCTGCCTCTTCCTCTACCTGTGTCTCTGCCTCTGTCTCTCTCTCCGTGTGTCTCTCATGAATAAATAGATAAAATCTTTAAAAAGAGAGAGAGAAGTCCCATCCATTCTAGATGGAAAGACAGGGTACAGGACTTAACGAAAAGGTAACAATGCCATAAAGACAATTGGGTTCTGTTAGAATGTAGGGAAGGAAGAGATCCCTCTGAATGTCAATGATGAAAGAAGGCTTTCCAGAAGAGATGAGATTTCATCTGGATCTTGAAGTGTAAGAGAGTTTAACACATATGGAGAGGCAGGCACAGGGCATTCCTGGCAAGCAGGGAGGTAAATTTGGGACCAGGCCGTCTGTGTGGTCCCTCTGAGCCAGAGCGGAGGGTCTCTACAGTAGAGAAAGATGAAGCTGGGATGCTGACAGGAAAGCTGTCTTGCCTCCATCTTGTAGCCCTGGAGAACGTCTGTAGGCCTTTGAGCCTTGGCTAATGGAGTCAAGTAACATTTCAAGAAAACCAATACGATGTCTTCATGCTCTCTCCTTTTATTTGAGCTACAAGAGGTGCCCCACAGTTCTATGGTTTCAGGATTTGGCACACCAATCCAGGGTCAGCCTATTTGTTCCTTTTGTGGTGTGATAAACTTGAAACCTCTGAAGAGTATTTTTGACCCATCCAATTTGATAGAACTTGATTCTTGTCTCTGAAACCAAATTAATCTGTTGTGTGTCTCTGGCCGCCTCATTCAGACCCCTTCTCCCAAACTGTCATTCTCCCTCTATTCCCCAGCCCTGGTCTCTGCCTCCTTCCCAGTGTATTTCCTGGTCCTGTTTCCTTCTGAACCCCATTGCCCCTAATGTCCATCCTACCTATGCTCACACACCACCATGCCAGCTGTGAATACACCTCACTTTCCCTACCAGATTATGAGAGCCCGTCAAGATCATTCCTCAACCACTCCCTCCCCTTTTCAATCATCTTCTTGTAGATGCTCAAGCGATCCTTCTAACACAGAGATTTGCTGTCATACATATGTGGGGACTTTTGATAGCTCCCTGATGCCTACAGAACCCAGTAAAAAATTCTTATCTTGGCAGACAGAGCCCTCCTTATTGACCACATCGATTACGGCTGTTCTCACAAGAGCTTTTGTGTCCTCTCACCTTTGTATGCACTAGTCCTTCTGCTTCAGACACCCTTCCCTCTGCCTGATGAACTCCCTCCCACTTGTTCAAGTCTCAGCTCTGGTTTCACCTCCCTTGGGGAGCACCCCTAACAGCCAGGCTGGGTAGGAACACCTCCCCGTGCTGCTCTGGCACCCAGTGCTCCTTCTTAGCACCTTTCATGGGTGTCTCAGTTCTCTGTCCACCAGCCTGAGGGTAGAAGATGTGGCTTTCTCTGCTGCACCTCCCCAGTGTCCAGCTCAGTGACTGGTATAAGGTATGTGTTTGCTGAATATCTGTTGCATTGCAGTGGACTCTGTTTTAGTCAAATCATTTTTTTCGGAAGCCCAGAATTGTTTGAGGGTTGACTTTGAGGCAATTATAAACTGCCTACATCAGAGGAGCCATTCTTACTGAAAGGCTTGTCACTTGCAATCAGTGCAGAGTGCTAAACAAAATGCCTTTCCTTTAAGTACTTTCTCAACAGGTTCTCATTCTGTGCTTATAACTACCTGGTGGGGGGGGGCAGGACCAGCATCACCACCCTGGTTTTCTAGACAAGCATGCTGAGCTTCAGAGAAATGAACTTGCTTGCCCAAGCTGACAGTGGGAAAGGGGA